AAAATAAATATTATAATGCAAATTTGCCAAAAAAACAGCATGTGCATCAAAATAACCAGCAGTGCAATTTGAGATCTAAGCATCCCAGAAACTATACAGAAAAGCATAAAGCCAAATATGACTTTTAAAAACACCAGTATAGGCTTATAAGGCCCCGAAGGTAAGAAACTACATTTTCCGCGAAAATGATGTCACTTCCGGTTTTGGCCAGGTAATGGTGGACACGCAATAGTTCACGCTGACGTCTATTCCAACGATAACAAGAACAGCCGATTGGATCAGCAGAGCGTGTTTCTGGAATATTATGTTTTTGTTGCTCCTTGTGCTTTTTATGTTGTTTTTGCCAAGCCATATGTGGAAAGAAACCCTGACTTAGGACAAGCTGATGGCATAAGATAAGCTAAGTACAATTCCTCCGGTTTCATGTGCAAAAAAAATTATTGCGCTCGCTTACGTTCCAGTTCTACAGGGATTTAAAAATAATTACACAAAACAGAGCGTGCAAAACTCTGACCAGTTTTAAAGGGTTAAAAATGTCTCACTTCTACTATTACTGGATGTCGTCACAAGAGCTGGCTTTTCTATGAGGTGCCCTGTGTTTATGTGTTTATGGAGTGACTGTTTAGTTTCTCCAATGTAGAGGTCTGAGCACTCCTCACTGCACTGCACAGCATACAATATGTTACTTTTAGTTTGCTCAGAAGTAAAGCACCACAGAAAGCGACCATCATTGAACAGAGGGGGTGGTTTACGACACCAGCTGTCCACCACCTACAATTTAGTCTTGAGATCCTGTCCCAGGTATCTAAACCCCCACTCATATCTTTTGTCCGGTGACCTCAATGGGTCACATGATAGGGTGATCCAAAGTCTCACAATGGTTTCACCCAAGACCTATGGCGATAATGATCCACGTCTTTTTTCATACCTTGGCTCATGTGACAACCCCCACTAGGGTTTAAGTACCTGGAACACTCCCCCATTTGGTTTTAGAACCAAAGAAGCCTGTTGGAGGTGAGGTGAGAGGTGAAAATGTCTTCATGAAACTTAAAGAAGTCCAGTCGCTTTCTATCCAAGCTCTTTAGACTGCTATTACTACCTGCTTCAATCAGCTCAGCACAGCTCCACACGGTTTTTAGGATTTTCCATTAGGCGATAATACTTGATACCAGGTACCACAGATTAAGCAGCAGGTATAAAATCACCTTGACATCTGTCACGGTGCTGGTCTTTGACCAAGCATTTTGAGTTTATTTTTTCATATTCATTATTCTAGGTTTGAGGAAGATTATATAGGTTTAAGTTCGGTTTTATTTAGTCTTCAGTTTAGTTCTTGTTATGTCTCTGAGTTTATTTGTACTCTGGTTTATGGGTTCTTGTTAGCTAGGCTGCTTTTGCGTCTTTGTCTAATCCCCATGTCTCCAGTGAGAGTTTGTTGTCTCCTTTGTGTTTATTTGTTTCCCCCCAGTCATGTCTCTGCTTTTCATGTTTGTGTTGGTGTCCTGTGTCCTGTCCCCCCCACCCCACATGTTCGATGTTCATGTATCCCCATCTGGGTGTCAAGCTTGTGTGTGTTTTTGAGTCTCTGTGTTCATGCTACTTCCTGTTTTATTTTGACAGTGTCTCGCCCTGTATTTAGTATTCAGTGCATTCAGTTTTGCTTCCCCTGTCTTGTTATTTGTCCCTCCTGTGCTCCCATGTGCCTCCACTCTCCCTAATCACCCTTTTGTGTATATATTGTGTGGGTTTCCTTGTTGTTCCTTCTCAGGTCATCTGTTCTTACCCCCCTGTGTCTCTATTCCTTCGTGTTTCCAAGTTTCGATTAGTTATTAGTTGGGTTGTCTGATTTGTACTTTTACATTCAACCTAATAAACGGCACGTCTTTGGTTAAAACTAGCTCCTGTTTTCTTGTGTTATTGCACCTTGGTCCTCTCTCTGCTTCACACAATCTGCAGCTGCAGATCATGACAACGCCTACCTTTGTTGTAGCGTTCGTGTCACATACAAGTGACGTTGTGGGGCAAGTCCCAGTGTATACTGTACAGTTCAGAGTCACAGAGCTTCCTGGCTGGATGGTTTCAGATGCTGACGGTTGGACCACAGCCTTGATGTCCAAATCTGAATCTTTAACACCAACAGTAATGCTCTCTGAAAATGTTCATGTGTACAAATAGGAACATATACAGTAGTACGTTCCTGAGTCAGAAATGCGCACATCCGAGATTATTAAGTCGTTTTGACCTGTTTCAGTATCCAGGGTGAAGCTTGGATCACTCTTGAATGTATCATAAAATGTGGGATTGTTTTCATATACATAGAAGGTAGAAATGAGTCTTGGTTTCTCCCCCAAAGTTTGCTTATAGCAGTAAAACCGTGGAGCTCAATCACCTTTTCTGTAACAATGCAAAGTCACACTGTCCCCAGTTTTAACTGATATGAAATGTCTTTCTTGAGGAACAGAAGAAGAGGTATTCAGGTTGTTTGTCTGAGCTGAAGTAAAATAAAAGACAGACCAAATGCAGGTTATGGACTCTTTAAAGCATGAAAATATATTGAAACTTTCAAAATCAAACTCACCCATTTCCCCCAAGAACAAACATTTGAGAGAGATGACAAACTTCGCAGATGTCATCTTCTTGAAATAATCATGCTGAATGAAAAGAATCTCAAACCTTTTTTTCCACTCTTCTTACAGAAGACTGTGCCTGATTGGCCAAGCAGAAGTGACACAGCATGTCTTTTTAAGGAAACATGATCACATGGCTATAGTGGGAAAAAACAAAGACTCATCAATTTTGTAATATCATATGAGCGTGTTATTACACATGTTACTTGTTGGTTTTACAACTGACAGCACAGCTGCCAGGAGCCAATAGAGAGCAGCTGAGACACTGACCTCTGTGCATAGACAGAAGTTTCCTCCTTCTCTGTCTGGTGAAATAATATGGTTACTGTTGTAAGGTTGGCTGATCTAAGTATTTCAGAAATTACTTATCTGGAAGGTTTTTCAGCACAATCATCTCTAGTGTTGCCAGAGGTCAAGGAGCTGATAGAAAACAGTAGCTGTATTTGAACATGCTGAAGAGCATCTCTGAACAACAACCTTGATGTAGATGAACTATAGCAAATGTTAAAATTAGACAAAGATAACCCAAATAAATACAAAATTATGTTTTTACAGTTATAAGAGATTCAAGATGAATATGACACATAACCTGTCTAATCCAAATCGGCCAAATGTTGGAGGCAAAATGTGCTTTATTTAGTCTTCCAGCCAGCAGAGAACATCATCCTCACTAAGAGAGATATCTAATGGGATGCCCCTTTACACTGAAATCTCAAAGAGTATGGAGATGGATTTACTGTTTGTACAAATATTTCAGAAAAAGACTCAAAAATTGATTTCTAAAACATATGTCGTTTTGGACATAATGAAAATATATGAAGCAGTTTGACTGTAGATCCATCTATGTGGATTTGTGATAACCTGTCCATGGACCAATGAAGGTGAAACAACCTTAAACTGTATTACAGCTTCGATGTCACCAATGTTCCCTCTAAGCTGTGCGTGTGCGCAATTGCGCACTGCTGGCACGGTCTCTGCACACAGAAAATCTGTGTTGCGCACAAAAAAACAACAACCGGAAGTGAAATTAAAATTAATACTTTAACAATTCTGTTTTGCAGTGTTAGTCAGTAAGTGACGGGCTGCTCCCGTATGGGATCAGAACGATGCCACCTCATCCCATAGTCCAGCCAATAATGCGATTCACATTTGTATATGTGTATGTGTTTTAGCTAGCAAAGCGGCGTAGCTGATGTGGAGTGAAGCCACGTTAATGACAACGTGTACAACCATTGGAGATGTGAGCAGGACAGACGGAACAATTGACGGAAAAATTGGGGACTTTAAACCAGTTTTTAAATTGTGTTGATAGGCCACGAAAACCAGAGTTGTGATAAAACAAATATGCAATGTTTGGTTTTCTTCCTGAATACTGGTTGTTTATATTTACTGCGGGAAGAAACGGTAAAAACAGCATTTAATAAGGAAAATGCTTGAAAGCACTCTCCGCCTGTAAGCAAAAACAAAACCAGAAAACCCCACCCTTTCCTATTGGTCGAAAAAGGACCATATCGACCAATATCATGTCGATCAATATCATATCATTTTTTCGATCAAAAAATGATATGGCAACATGGTATTTAGTTGTTTAGGAAGGGGGGAGTTTTAGGAGTGACGGCGGTGTTTTGAGATGTGTGAGATTTGCTACGTTTAGCGCAAACCTTGTGTAGTTAGTGTGTAGTGTAGTCAATAGTTTTGTTGTGTGTGTCAGAACAATGAGGCGACTGCTGAATGTTACAGGTGTTACAGGAGT